ACACACATATATATATATAATGTCCCTTGACGTCTTTATTTAAATAACTTCATCTGGAAATCCCCCAAAGTTGATTTTGGTGACCATTAGACGACGCTACCGAAATTCTTTTTCCAAAAAAACCCAACCCAAATCATCCACTTTTACTTTAATGGCGCAGTTTTGAACTACCCATAATACTTCATCAGTCCGTGAACGCAATATGCGTTTAAGATGTTGGTCAACTTTCAGATTTCGGGTCAGTGTGTGAACGTGCTCCTGAACCACGCCACAGCAATCCATGCTATACTGTGCTTCACCACACCATCAATCAATAGATCTATAATATGATATTAATATCTTGTAGTACAGACATGGGCAAACAACGGCTCGCAGGCTAAATCCAACCAACGAGCAATTTAAATTAAGTTCGCAAGTCTACTCTGCAGTGATTAATTTTTTTTAAAATTGTCCGTCTTGAAAATTAAAATTGTTAATAGTTTCCAGCCCCAGATCAAGTATTTTATCACATGAAATACCTTGAGTGACAAGTGTAAGATCTAGTGTTCAGCATTGGTCTCACTTTTGAGAATTTGGCAACCGATTTCATTCAAGTTTTTCCTGTTTTGGCCAGCGAGATATTCGGAATTGCATAACCCGGCATGCAACTTGAATGCACTTGCCCCCTGGCTGATGAATTTCATTTATATATAATATACTTCCCATTTGGACCTTGATCAGTATCAGAAACTCCACCGAACCTCTCATATTATTCTCAATCCTCACCAAAAGCCAGCGTAAGCGTCCGACAACAATAATATGAACTTACCTTAGCTTGACAACTCAATTGGCAAGGTCGGCTGTCACAGGTGCGGAGTGTGGAGTAAATCAGGTGACCAGCCCCCCCTTTTATAGTCCAGCCGTAGAATTTTCGAGAAAGATGCGCGCTGTTATGTGAAAAAAAAAGGATTGAAGTCAAAGTTGAGTCTACACCAGACCAGGTTGCGGCAAATTTACCTGGAGTTGATATATGACAATGAGAACTGTTCCACATAACTTTACAACCCCTCCACGTTCCTTCAAGGAAAGGTGGGGGGAGGAGAGAGAGAAGCGGGAAAAGGGGAAAGGGTGGGGGGGGAGGCAGGAGAGAGAGAAGGGGAGGGGGGAGG